CCCCATTTAAAACACATCAGTGTTCACATTGCACTTTTGCCCCCATAAACATATTATCTACTTTTCATGTTATCATAGTGGGTTATAGATCTACTCAGACTTCTAATTGCATTCCTATAACAATCATTTCCATTATTTATTTATCTCCTAATATTATTCCTAATGCTAGACACAGTTATACCAAAGTTATATTACGTGGGTTTAGCGCTTAGTTATGAATATAATAATTCTCTCTCTCTCTCTCTCTCTCTCTCTCTCTCTCTCTCTCTCTCTCTCTCTCTCTCTCTCTCTCTCTCTCGTTTTCAACCTCTTACATTTTCATACGTCGTAACGCTATATTCCCTCCTTCACAAGCCCTGCGGGTAATTACCTAATGTTCTGCCTTGTTTTATAGGCACCAACGACAGCACCAGAGAGCCTGATCACCCAATGTTCGACGTGCAGGTGCTCACCGTTGTCATCCACAGAGACGACACCCTTCAGGACCTCCTTCACCAGGTAACCCTAACCTCAAGATAACGAACAACCCCCCCCCAGCTGAGGTTACGTGAGTGATCGCCATATGGTAGTTCACTGTACGTTTTCTTTAAGGGATTTTCTTCGCTCGGGTAATTTTTTTTCCAGAAGGTAGCAGCCTCTCTGGCAACATTAGGAAAATTTTCGTTATAAGGCAGTTTACAGCTGAGCGACGAGGTTGTTGACAGAAACTGAAAGGATCGTTTTCCTTCAGGTAAGACTTTGTTGTAGAAGATGAAAATTTCTCTAGAGAACCAGTGTTTTAATTAGTGTTTCAACCAGTGCTTTAAGTAGTGCTTCAATTAGTGTTTCAATTAGTGCTTCAATTAGTGCTTCAACTAGTGCTTCAATTGGTGATTCAACCGGTGCTTAAACCAGTGCTTCAACTAGTGCTTCAACTAGTGCTTCAACTAGTGCTTCAATTAGTGCTTCAACTAGTTTCAATTAGTGCTTCAATTAGTTCTTCGACCAGTGCTTCAATTAGTGCTTCAATCAGTGCTTCAACCAGTGCTTCAATTAGTGCTTCTTCCAGTGTTTTGACTAGTGCTTCAATTAGTGCTTCAACTAGTTTCAATTAGTGCTTCAATTAGTGCTTCGACCAGTGTTTCAATCAGTGCTTCAACCAGTGCTTCAACTAGTGCTTCAATTAGTGCTTCTTCCAGTGTTTTGACTAGTGCTTCAATTAGTGCTTCAACTAGTTTCAATTAGTGCTTCAACTAGTGCTTCAACTAGTGCTTCAATTGGTGATTCAACCGGTGCTTAAACTAGTGCTTCAACTAGTGCTTCAACTAGTGCTTCAACTAGTGCTTCAATTAGTGCTTCAACTAGTTTCAATTAGTCCTTCAATTAGTGCTTCGACCAGTGCTTCAATTAGTGCTTCAATCAGTGCTTCAACCAGTGCTTCAATTAGTGCTTCTTCCAGTGTTTTGACTAGTGCTTCAATTAGTGCTTCAACTAGTTTCAATTAGTGCTTCAATTAGTGCTTCGACCAGTGTTTCAATCAGTGCTTCAACCAGTGCTTCAACTAGTGCTTCAATTAGTGCTTCTTCCAGTGTTTTGACTAGTGCTTCAATTTGTGCCGTAACTCCCGACCGAGATGCATCACAATGTCATGCAGTTTTCTGCAATAATTGCCAAGTGACAGCAACTTCTCAAGCCCGAACAGAAAAAAAAGAGGTCCGCCGAACGCACGTTAAAATAATTAACACTTAAATAATTACTTTTTTTAACTGAAGCATCACGGTTGCAAATTTAACGTTAGCCGAAAGTTATATCCTAACAATGACTGAGGGGATGAGCTGAGGAAATAGTTTGTGTAATCCAATATTTGATAGAATATAAAATGACAATTTATTACACCAAAAAAAAAAAAAAAACTGAAGTATAAATTGGAATCATCATAGGTCTGGTCACAGACCGGGCCGCGGGGGCGTTGACCCCCGGAACTCTCTCCAGGTAAACTCCAGGTAATTATTGAAGTGGAAATTATAGAAATATATTAATCGTTAACGATTTCAAAATGAATAACAATTAAAAATGACTGAAAAGTACAAACCACGTTATGGGTGGGGATTGAACTCGCGGCAAGTGAGTCGTGAAACTTAGGGGCTGACCTGGAGTTCTACGACTCACTTGCCGCGAGTTCAATCCCCACCCGTACCGTGGTTTGTCTGCAATCGTGTCAATACAGTTTCATGAGTACTGAAAAATACATCTCAACAAAACGCTTGTTAGCTTGCTTGAAAAAAAAAAAAAAAAAAAAAAAAAAGCAATAATTCCAATAATTTTTTTATTGAAAATTACTAGCTATATATTAAGATCGGACCCTGGTCTTGGTCTGGGCCGCGGGGGGGGGGGTTTGCCCCCCAAAGCATCCTTCCCGTATCCTTCAAGTCAAGATAGTGACCTATAATTACTTAAATATGTTAATTATACACCCCAAACCCATCCTGTGGGCAAGTTAATGACCCATAAGTTTTTTTTATCATTATAAAAGATTAATACGGCTCCAATTTACAGACATCCGATGCTGACATAAACTGGCCATTTCCTCACTTTTATGTGTCGCGTCGGACGGGAATTAAAAAGAGTTAAGACGACAGCGGGACAATTTATTCCGATAATTTGTCGTGGATGCCTCGCCTGGTATCGCATCTCTTACTATGAACTAAAGTTGAAGAAGCAACAGAATCAGGATACGTTACAAAAAAAAAAATATGTAATTTTACAAAAGCAGGTTTGGTTTACTAAGCTTAAAAATTAACTACATGAGAAGTCACTAAAGGCTTCGTGTTCCTTGTATATGACCAGGTAAGAATAATCCCTAATTTAGGGATTAAAGTAAATTATAAAGTGTATACATATTGAGATCCAGATACTCCAAGTATATATGAAATTCTGTTCTCAGTGTATACATACCAAGGGAGATATATTCCTAATATATAGGAAGTTTGAGGTAAACTGAAAGCATAAAATATTCCACTAATCCCTTTAATGAGAAATATTCTGAAGAGAAATCAGAAACTTAACACATTTTAAGGAAATTCGCCTTTTGAGATATAATATATATATATATATATATATATATATTATTATATATAATATATATATATATATATTTTACATATATATACATACATATAATATTATATATATATATTTATATATATATATATATATATATATAATATATATATCATTTTATACATATATATACATATATATACATAATATATATATATATATATATATATATATATATATATATATATATATATATATATATATATATTATATATATATATATATATATATTATATATTTAATTTAAAATTCAATAGAAAGTAGACTGAGAAATCTCATTTACTGAGAAAAAATTTGAACGTAAAATGACGAGTTTAACATAAAAATGGAGTCCGATTGCCTAGATCAAAAGATTTGATCTAAGGAAGAAAACAGCGCCACTTTCTTGAATCAAGAGCCTTTCACCACGAGAGGCAGGGAGACTTAACTGGTAACTAAAACATAGTGCATATTTTTGTGTTTATATGTTAACTTAAGTGTAAAGGTCATTTAGGCAAAAATAACATGCTTGAACAGAAGAGTCTTTGTGTGTGTTTAAGAGAGTAAATTTTCACTGCATCTTCTATTTACTATCCAAGTGAAACGATATTATTATTAATATTTTTTTTGTAAATATATAGATTCGGTTATCATTACTTTTTTAATAAAAATTTTAAGGGTAACTGGTTTTAGAATGATCACAGTGACTCTGGTAATCTTTGTCTCACGTACATTCCAATACCATAAAGAATCTTCCTGTCCGTATTTAATTGATTTTCAGAGTCCACGGCCTTCCAAGTTTAACTAGGATAATCCTCAACATAATCTATTCAGCGTGTTTGGTAAAAATCTTTACCTTCATTAATTTTATACGTCATTTTCGGCTGATTTTCAGTAACGACTCGTTCAAAAAAGCAATACTTTTCCTCAGGATATGCTTCCCGACGCTGTCCCATTGGTCAAGAAGGTCGTCATCAATGACATGAATGTTGCTGATGGTGTTAAAGAGAAGGACCAGGAACCCCGGCTTCAGCTCAAAGCCAACGACCACTACAGCACCGGCGGCGACACAAGCAATAAGGACGACCACCTTTACCACGGGATGAGCTACAACTTTGACAACGACAGGAGCAAGAACCTTGGACAGTACCAGAGTGCTGGTCTAAATGACTATGACAGCTCCGCAGGTGTTTCTCTTACGGAACCCGAAACACTTGATAGAAAGAAGAGATACGTAAGTATTGCAGTAATTTGGGACAGTAATGTTTTGTTAGTTATATATATATATATATATATATATATATATATATATATATATATATATATATATATATATATATATATTATATATATATATATATATATATATAATCAGAGGACAATCCTGCCTTGTGTAATACTGAACGGACGATAGTGTTACTTTGTTTCTGTTTTTTCTTCTTTATTCGCTTTCTCTTTTCTTTTACTCATTTTAATGTTTATCGTATGTTTAGAATCTGGTTCTTACAATTCATTTTCTCTGATTGAGTGATTAACTCTGCAACCTGTGAATAAATTATGCTTCAAGTTGAAGTGCAGGATTTCATCTTAAAACAAACACATACACACAGACGCAAACACACACACAGACACACACAGACACGCACAGACATACAAACACACACACACACACACACACACACACACAACCACACACACACACACACACACACACACACACAGATGATGTGGAGTTGATGAGAAGAATTAAACGGACGAGGATGAGGCAGGACTGCAAAGAGACCTGGAGAGGCTGGACATGTGGCCCAGAAACTGACTTCTCGAATTCAATCCAGCCAAATGCAGTCATGAAGATTGGGGAGGGGCAAAGAAGACCGCAGACAGAGTATAGGCTAGGTGGACAAAGACTACAGACCTCACTCAGGGAGAAAGACCTTGGGGTGACCATAACACCGAGCACATCACCGGAGGCACACATCAACCAAATAACTGCTGCAGCATACGGGCGCCTGGCAAACCTGAGATTAGCGTTCCGATACCTTAATAAGGAATCGTTCAAGACACTGTACACTGTGTATGTTAGGCCCATACTGGAGTATGTAGCACCAGTCTGGAACCCACACCTGGTCAAGCACGTCAAGAAGTTAGAGAAAGTACAAAGGTTTGCAACAAGGCTAGTCCCAGAGCTCAGGGGAATGTCGTACGAGGAAAGGTTGAGGGGAATCGGACTGACGACACTGGAGGACAGAAGGGTCAGGGGAGACATGATAACGACATACAAGATACTGCGGGGAATAGATAAGGTGGACAGAGATAGGATGTTCCAGAGAGGGGACACAGGAACAAGGGGTCAGAACTGGAAGCTGAAGACTCAGACGAGTCACAGGGACGTTAGGAAGTATTTCTTCAGTCATAGAGTCGTCAGGAAGTGGAATAGCCTAGCATGTGTAGTGGAGGCAGGAACCATACACAGTTTTAAGAAGAGGTATGATAAAGCTCAGGAAGCAGAGAGAGAGAGAGGACCTAGTAGCAATCAGTGAATAGGCGGGGCTAGGAGCTGAGTCTCGACCCCTGCAACCACAATTAGGTGAGTAGACACACACACACACACACACACACACACACACACACACACACACACACACACACACACACACACACACACACCTCACAAGAGGTTACTGCAAAAGCTAAAGGATCAGGCACACATAACAGGAAAGGCACTGCAATGGATCAGAGAATACCTGACAGGAAGGCAACAACGAGTAATGGTACGTGGCGAGGTGTCAGAGTGGGCGCCTGTGACAAGCGGGGTTCCACAGGGGTCAGTCCTAGGACCTGTGCTGTTCTTGGTATATGTGAATGACATAAGGGAAGGGATAGACTCAGAAGTGTCCTTGTTTGCAGATGATGTGAAGATAATGAGAAGAATCTAATCGGATGAGGATCAGGCAGGACTACAAAGAGACCTGGACAGGCTACATGCCTGGTCCAGCAACTGGGTTCTTGAGCTTAACCCTGCCAAATGCAAAGTCATGAAGATTGGGGAAGGGCAAAGAAGACCGCAGACACAATATAGTTTAGATGGCCAAAGACTGCAAACTTCACTCAAGGAAAAAGATCTGGGGGTGAGTATAACACCGAGCATATCTTCTGAGGCGCACATCAATCAGATAACTGCTGCAGCATACAGGCGCCTGGCAAACCTACGGATAGCGTTCCGATACCTCAGTAAGGATTCGTTCAAGACTGTATACCATTTACGTCAGGCCCATACTGGAGTATGCAGCACCAGTTTGGAATCCACACCTAGTCAAGCACGTCAAGAAATTAGAGAAAGTGCAAAGGTTTGCAACAAGACTAGTCCCAGAGCTACGGGGATTGTCCTACGAAGAAATTTGAGGGAAATCGGCCTGACAACACTGGAGGACAGGAGGGTCAGGGGAGACATGATAACGACATATAAAATACTGTGTGGAGAAAGACGGGATGTTCCAGAGGAGGGACACAGACACAAGAGGTCACAATTGGAAGTTGAAGACTCAGATGAATCAAAGGGATGTTAGGAAGTATTTCTTCAGTCATAGAGTAGTCAGGCCATGGAATAGCCTAGAAAGTGGCGTAGTGGAGGCAGGAACCATACATAGTTTTAAGGCAAGGTATGATAAAGCTCATGGGGCAGGGAGAGAGAGGACCTAGTAGCAATTAGCAAAGAGGCAGGGCGAGGAGCTATGACTCAACCCCTGCAACCACAAATAGGTGAGTACAGAGACACACACAAAACAGTGGCATACTGCAACAAGGGATATACCAACAGGTGTTGGATGAATTACACACAACTGAGGAGGAGGTGGAGAAGCTCCTAAGTGACCTTGATACGTCAAAGGCGGTGGGACCAGACAACATCTCTCAGTGGGTCCTTAGAGAGGGAGCAGGGACACTACATGTGCCACTAACCAAAATCTTCAACACTTCCCTTGAAACTGGGCAACTACCTGAAGTATGGAAGAAGGCAAATGTTGTCCCCATCTTTAAGAAGAGAGACAGAAATGAAGCACTAAATTATAGACCAGTGTTACTGACATGTATAGTATGCAAAGTCTTGGAAAAGATTATCAAGAGGAAAGTGGTGGAGCACCTGGAGCGGAACAAGATTATAAACAACAGCCAGCACGGATTCATGGAAGGCAAATCCTGTGTCACAAACCTACTAGAGTTTTATGACAAGGTAACTATAGTAGGAAATGAGAGGGAGGGGTGGGTTGATTGCATTTTCTTGGACTGCAAGAAAGCCTTCGACACAGTTCCTCACAAGAGATGAGTACAGAAGCTAGAGGAAAAGGCACGTATAACAGGAAGGGCACTGCAATGAATCAGAGAATACCTAACAGGGAGGCAAGAGCGAGTCATGGTCCGTGATGAAGTATCACAGTGGGTGCCAGTGACGAGCGGGGTCCCACAGGGGTCAGTCCTGGGACCAGTGCTATTCTTGGTATATGTGAACGACATGATGGAAGGGATAGACTTTGAGGTGTCCCTGTTTGCAGATGACGTGAAGCTAATGAGGAGAATTAAATCAGACGCAGACCAGACAGGTCTACAAAGAGACCTAGACAGGCTGGATGTGTGGTCCGGAAACTGGCTTCTAGAATTTAACCCCGCCAAATGCAAAGTCATGAAGATCGGAGGAGGGCAAAGAAGACCGCAGACAGAGTATAGGCTAGGAGGCCAAAGGCTGCAAACCTCACTCAAGGAGAAAGACCTTGGAGTGAGTATAATACCTAATACATCGCCAGAAGCACACATTAACCAGATAACTGCTGCGGCATATGGGCGCTTGGCAAACCTGAGAATAGTGTTCTGGTACCTCAGTAAGGAATCGTTCAAGACTTTATACACTGTGTATGTCAGGCCCATACTGGAGTACGCAGCACCAGTTTGGAACCCACACCTGGCCAAACACGTCAAGAAATTAGAGAAAGTGCAAAGGTTTGCAACAAGGCTAGTTCCAGAGCTAGGGGAAATGTCCTATGAAGAAAGGTTAAGGGAAATTGGTCTGACAACACTGGAGGACAGGAGGGTCAGGGGAGACATGATGATGACATACAAAATACTGCATGGAATAGACAAGGTGGACAGAGACAGGATGTTCCAGAAATGGGACACAGAAACAAGGGGTCACAATTGGAAGCTGAAGACTCAGATGAGTCAAAGGGATGTTAGGAAGAATTTCTTCAGTCAATGAGTAGTTAGGAAGTGGAATAGTCTGGCAAGCGATGTAGTGGAGGCAGAAACTATACATACTTTTAAGACGAGGTATGATAAAGCTCATGGACCAGGGGAAGAGAGGACCTAGTAGCGGTTGGTGAAGAGGCTGGGCCAGGTGCTGAGTCTCGACCCCTGCAACCACAATTAGGTGAATACACACACACACACACACAACACACACACAACACACACACACACACACACGGGAACCATACATAGTTTTAAGGCGAGGTATGATAGAGCTCATGGGGCAGGGAGAGAGAGGACCTAGTAGCAATCAGCGAAGAGGCGGGGCCAGGAGCTGTGAATCGACCCCTGCAACCACAAATAGGTGAGTACAAATAGGTGATTACACACACACAGAATGTTTCAGAGATGGGACACAGCAACATGAGGTCGCAACTGGAAGTTGAAAACTCAGATGATGAATCACAGGAATGTTAGGAAGTATTTCTTCAGCCATAGAGTTGTCAGGAAGTGGAACAATCCAGAAAATGATGTAGCGGAGGCATGATGCATACATAGCTTTAAGGAGAGGTTAAATAAAGCTCATGGAGCAAGGAGAAAGTGGACCAAATAGTGACCAGCAAAGAGGAGGGCCCAGGATGTATGACTTGTCCCCTGAAACCACAACTAGGTGAAAACAACAACACACACACACACACACACACACACACACACACACACACACACACACAAGAGGTATTTTAGGTTGTTAAATCAGAGAGAAGTATTTATATCGGTTTAGTAGACATATGAAGATACATTAGCAACATTAGGGTGACTAACTATAATAAGGGATGGCAGCTAGATATGGGAATAGATGCTTTGTTAGTTATATCAAAGGGTAGTTTGTCAGAGGATATTTTTTAACAGGTGATAATTAGTTTACAGTAGCTAATGTAATTATTTTTGAAGTATCGGTAGGAAATTAAAACATAAGTGAGTTACGTCAGAGAGATGGAGGGTCCGGGAATAATTATCGTTAGTGACAGCTACATCGAAGAATATTTGCCTCTAGTGTACACTTGTTACATCAGGACAAATGCAACAACAGTAAATATCACGTATTAATTATATATTTCTGTGTTACTTCTCTTTGCATGCCTGTATTCTTGAACTATTACAAGAAAGCAGTCAAGGCAAACTTTGAGTAAAGGTTAGACATGTGGATAGGTGGGAATGGTTGCCTGGTTTGGGCCAGTAGGTCTGCCGTAGTGTTCTTCTATTCTTATGTTCTTATTTCTGTTTATCTCGCTCATTACTATTTACACTTTTCTCATGCAGGCGCCTGGACCCGCAAATACTATCGGCAGCGCTAACCTTACTTTAACGAAGACCACTGCCCCCCTGGACCCTCTTAAGCCCGGCAACACCGTGGGTTACAGGCTGGACATCGCCTTGCCTGTGCTAAGTAGGTTACGTACTGTTTTCTAAACTCCTGAATTTACAAGCTGAGAGTTCTTATTATACTCAACTCATTTCAGAGTCCCACGATCCTTGCTTCCTAGGATGATACCCACCCAGATACGTATTTACTGTTTGGTGAACAAGGGCAACAGCAGGTAAGGAGACTAGCACACCTCTGCACCTGTTCAGGATTTAACCCGGGTCCTCTGGTTGTGAGTCAGTGGAACTAACACTCAGCTGAGAGTCACCGTCAAGTTTTATTTGTTCTGGAAATAATTTATATTATGTTTTTGTATTCCTTGTAATATGTCATCGTCCTGTTATACTCCAGCAGCATACTTTTGTAATACTGTTATTCTTTTTTAGCATACTGTACTTTGTTATGCTCGGGTAGTATACTAAGTTATACTCTTGCAGTATACCATTACACTCTTGCAGTATACCATTACACTCTTGCAGTATACCATTACACTGGCAGTATACCATTACACTCTTGCAGTATACCATTACACTCTTGCAGTATACCATTACACTCTTGCAGTATACCATTACACTCTTGCAGTATACCATTACACTCTTGCAGTATACCATTACACTGGCAGTATACCATTACACTCTTGCAGTATACCATTACACTCTTGCAGTATACCATTACACTGGCAGTATACCATTACACTCTTGCAGTATACCATTACACTCTTGCAGTATACCATTACACTGGCAGTATACCATTACACTCTTGCAGTATACCATTACACTCTTGCAGTATACCATTACACTGGCAGTATACCATTACACTGGCAGTATACCATTACACTCTTGCAGTATACCATTACACTGGCAGTATACCATTACACTGGCAGTATACCATTACACTCTTGCAGTATACCATTACACTGGCAGTATACCATTACACTCTTGCAGTATACCATTACACTCTGGCAGTATACTATATATTCTCTGACTAAATTCTGTTATACTCTTGTAATATAATGCCTTTCAGTTAAAATTCATTCTGAAATATGGTTAACATACGATTTTTCATAGTTTCCCTGCCAGAGTAAGGAGCTTTCTCCGCTTTGAGCAGCGATTTTTTCCCCGTCCTCAGCATACTCCCCCCTCCCCTTTCCCGCTCTTCAAAGTGGCCGTGTAACTAGATTGCACTTATTTTCCATACCATATTTATTTCACTATACCTTTCAATAGCTCTTTTCATTATAATACAATTCCCCACCTTTATAAATCCTCTCCCCCCCCCCCACAACTATCATTGCTATTCTTCCCTCTTTACTCGATTTTCCCCAACCGTTCAGGGAAAATTTAACTAATTTGAGCATTTTCAACATTTCTGAAGAGTTTTAATTTATTTTTTTTTCCAAAAGTTTCCACTTCTTCCATGGTTTGAAATTTTTCATAATAGATTTAATAAAATCCTCTCTCCTGGTATGACATTGTGGGCTCTTGCTCTTCAGTGCCATAACAGGTAACTCTTACAGTTTCTCGTATCAAAAATGATTACTTTTCATTATCCAGGTACTTTGACTAGTATATAAAGTTTTAGAACTTTCTTGTGATTATAATAACTGATGAGTTAGACATATTTGCAACGTTTGGGTATCTTTATTATTGAAAGGTTTCAACAATAATGGTACCCAACTGTTGAACATGTGTCTTACTCATCAACTTGGCTATAATTTATACCCTTTTAAACATAATAATTCTTATCTTTTATTCCTCTCTCCCTCTCATTTTATTGCTGATTTTCTCCTCCCAGTTTATTCAAATTACTCTGATAATGCTACTCCTTTTCCTATTTTTTTCTTCCAATCTCAGCAGTTTTACTCTATAAATTAAATAATCATCAAGTCACTGTAGGAAAACAGCAACAGTATGTCTCAGTCCTCCTGTCACTAGAAATTTATCCTACCAATCCAACCTAATCATTATATCACTGGGAAAAATCCACACAAGCTAAACTCAATCTTCCAGTCACTCAGGAAAATTCTTCTGCAGGTTAACCCAATCCTTCTTTCACTGGGGAAATTTGCCACCAGTTGAATCAAATCCTCATATCAAATGGGAAAAATTCCCCACCAATCTAACCTGTGTCTTTTGCCACTCAGCAAAATATCCCTTTTTTTCCCTTCCATCCCATTGCCCTCATCCATGTGAAGTAGAATTAAATGAAAAATTCTTTGTCCACTTTCTCTTTCTTAAAGGTCTCATAAATTTTTCTTTCTATATTGTCTCCCTCTCTGCCACCCTTCCTACTCTGCATCTAACACCTGTCTTCCTCCCTTTCTCCTCTCTTTCTAAAATGGATGTTTCTCCCTATTTCACATAAGATTTATCTTCCTCTGACATCTGCCTTATTCCTTATTTCCCCTTTATTTTATATTTTAACCCCTGATCCTCCTTCAATTAACTTCTGTTTCCTTATTCCTCTTCTTTACTACTCCCCATTCCTCTTCCTTACTACTCCCCATTCCTCTAACACTGCCCTCTCCCTTTTCCCTCTAATGACTATTCATCTGTACTCCTAGCATGTCTCCCTCCCTACCCTTCCTAATGTTTTACTCCCTACTAATGGCTTCCTCCCTCCCTACTCCATCTAATGTCTTTCTCCCTACCTGTTAATTTAATATTTCTTTCCTACTAATATCTTGTCAGCTCCAATCCCCTTTTCATCCTTCTCTCCTTCCTTACTCTTTTATGCCTCTCCCTATTCCCAGTATTGCACCAAGTATGTTATATATTTATGTGGTATACAGAAGGTTATCCACATGTCCTGTAGTCATCTTTCCTGACTGTAAGCACAGGAGATCAGGCATATAATGATGCCATGCAGTTCTAGATCGTCTTTTGACGGGCGGGTAGCATGATGCACTCCTGACTTATCAGGGGTGAATTGGTTTGCTGACACGATTACCTCATTTATGGTAATCGTTTCAGCCAGACTCATTTGAGCCAGCAGCTAGCTCATACTTCTGTGCAACCACTGGTTCTCTGGTGTATTGTGTGTTCTCACTGTTAATAGTTCAACCTCATGCCAGAATATTTAACATTATATTAGGAACAATTTGAGAAAAGAGAGGAAAAAGAATGCCATTCATTAAGAAAATGCCGTTCTGTTAATGTCCCAGATTTGAGTAAGACACTTACGGTAAAATGTTTCTACTTTAAATGTGTTCATCTGTAATAAATTTTGCTTTCCAAAAAAAAGAAGAAAAAAAAAAGGCTTATACTGAATTCCTTGTTCATTTGTTTATAAATATAGTACATAGCAATTTTATGAAGGGTTAATGTATACATATGCCACAATTTTTGAGCCTTCCTCCTTTCCTAGTTGAGTTATGTTTCTGAGAGTGTTATCAGTCATTGTTTATAACTCAACTCAGTACTACAGGTCTGGAAAACAAGTACCGGAGCTGGTGAAACTCTTCCTACCTCTAAACGTCTCTCTCCACTACTCGTTATATCTCTATTCTTCTCTTCTTCTGTTGGGTTTCAGGGCCACTGACAGCATCTATTCTTCTCTTCCTCCAGCGACGGGGATCGATCTGGTGGTGGAGATCTTTGTGATGGATGCGGTCTCAGGCATCACACCTTTCGCTCTCTGCGATGTTACCATCATCGCTATCGGTAGCAAGATCTCAAACTCTTCCGGTGGTGCCCTCACACCTGCGTCCGTTCCTATCAACAACCTGCTCAACCCCAATTTTGGCACCTTTGTAAGTCTCAAATCTGTCAAGGGATTTTCTGGGTGTGGTGGAATATGTGAGAGGACTTGTGGAAGGATGGCAGAGGATGCGAGAGGGAGAGGGATAGCTTTGAATGCACGAGTGTTAGAAGAAGGCAGAAGATATTTGGGAAGAATATGGGAGGATGACACAAATATGCAGAAAGAAGGTTAAAGGATGGTAGGGATATGTGTGAGAAAGATCTGTGGGAGGATGGCACATGGTGTGTGAGAATACGCTGAGATCAGTGGTCAGTACGCTGACATCAGTAGCACACGAAGTCATCCTGTCCTAAGCTATCTGGGAATTAGCGTGGGGTGTTACCGAGCACCATGGCTTGCTGTAGTGTTTTAGAATCTCAGGTTAAAGAGTTGAAGAAGGAGGTTCTACTTCTTCAGTAGGGAAATAGGAGGCTGAAGCTTCGCCTAGATGGGTTTGGGAGTTAGTGTGAGATGGTTGGCACTGATAAGGAGGAAACTTGCAATCCCATTCACTTATAACTCAGACAAATTCTATGGCAAATGTGATATGTATGCAAGGGATGGGGTTCATCTCTCTGGGGCTGGAGTGGCTGCATTAGCCAATACAATTGAGTGGGTCATTGATGACTAGTCTAGGACTTTAAACTGATAGATTATAGTGGTATGAGTGTTTGTGGGAAACAATCAGGCTGCAGTATTAGGGTTGAAAACTGCATATATTACCAGGATACCTCAAGGATATGTTTAAAAGACAATATTCAAAATAAAGTTGCCAGTAAAGGCAAAGCAATTGATCAACAAAGAGATAGTAGAGGGCATCAAGTGACTAGCTCCCATAAGGTTTACTATACAAAGAGTAGGAGTCTAAGAAATAAGATAGATGAGCTAAGATTACTTGCAAATTTAGGTAATATAGATATTATTGCTATAACGGATACCTGGTTTAGCCTGAAAGATAGAGAAATGCCTTCTGAATGCAACATATGGTTATAAACTATTCCACATCGATAGGGTCAATAGAAAGGGTGGTGGAGTGGTGATGAATGTCAGAGATCGTTTAAATTGTTGTGTTAGACAAGATATAAGATTAGAAACATCAGACACAGAATCTGTTTGGCTACAGTTTCTCGAGGGCCGTGAAAAATTAGTTTTAGGTGTGTTTCATAGGCCCCCATACCTTGACAGGGAGTGCAGTAAGCTGCTATGAGACGAAAATCATAAGGCGTCTAGGTATGAAAATGTTGTGTTAATGGGAGATTTTTAACTTTAGACAAATTTATTGGAACAATGTTACAAGAAATCTTGAGTCTAGTGACTTTCTTGCTATGATTTAGGATTACTTTTTAAAACAGTTTGTGACAGAATCAACTAGAGGAAACAATCTGCTTTACTTGGTTCTTGCCAACAAAGAATCACTGATAATCTTGAGGTTAATGATGAGCTTGGGAAAATCGACCACAAATCACTTTTCAATATATCATGGAATTACCCAGATAACTGCAATCAAGTCTCTGTCCTAGACTTCCACTTGGCCAATTTCATGGGACTGAGAAATTACCTGGATGGGCTAAATTGAGATGACCGGATTGTGGGTCAGGTAGGTGGTGTTGGTTGCCAATATAACATTTTTCAAGAGCATAGTCCTAGCTGCCCAGACAACTTTTGCTCTGAATAGGGAAATTAGATCTAACAAAAATGATCTCAAATGGCTGAACAATATATTAAAACTTCTCATTGGTCAGAAGAGGGGATGGGCAGTTAAGAAATCAATATATTCAATTAAAGAGAGAAATAAAAAAAAGACTAAGAAAAGCAAAAAGGGATTGAGGCTAAGGTCACCAGGGATTCGAAGACTAACCTAAAAGGGTTCTTTCAGGTATACAGAAGTAAGATTAGGGACAAGATAGGCCCACTTAAGAGTAACTCAGTCAGATCACTGACAGTGATAAGGAAATCTGTGAAATTTTCAGTACTTACATCGTCTCAGTTTTTACTCAGGAAGATACTAGTGAAATTCCAGAAATAATAAATTATGTAAAACAGGATGATAATAAACTGTGCACGAGTAGGGTAACTAGTGACATGGTCCTCAGACAAAGATAAATTAAAAGCTAACAAATCCCCAGGCCCTGATGTAAAGAGGAACTTAGCAAACCTTTGGCTGATCTTTTCAACATATCACTACAAACTGGCACAGTGCCAGATAAGTGGAAAATGGCAAATGTAATACCTATTTACAAGGAAGGTGACAGGTCCTTAAGCTTCGAACTATAGACCAATAAGCCATACCTCATAGTGGGAAAATTTATGGAATCAGTAATTGCCGAGGCAATTTGTAGCCATCTTGAAAGGCATAAATTAATGAATCTCAACACGGTTTTACAAAGGGGCGTTCCTGTCTTAAGAATTTACTAACTTTTTTCACTAAGGTGTTTGAGGAGGTAGATCATGGTAATTAATATGATATTGTGTATATGGACTTGGAGTAAGCTTTCAATAGAGTTCCACATCAGAGGTTACTGAGGAAACTTAAGGCACACGGAACAGGTGAAGAAATTTTTTCTTGGGTAGAGGCATGGTTGACAAATAGGCAGAAGAGAATTTGCATAAATGGGGAGAAATCAGAATGGGGGCACGTCACAATCAGTGTTCCACAGGGGTCAGTGTTGGGCTCCTTTTTGTTTACAATTTACATAAACACAGAGGTAGGGATAATGCCATAGGCAGTTTGCGAGGGCAAAAAGGAGGCATTATTTGCATCTTGACATTCAAGCACTCAGGATGTTTTGATAGGAGTTGGAATGGCAGACAAATGTTCTATAGACATTACGTTCTGTTGGACAGTGAGCAAAGTAAACATTATATAATGGGATCTAAGGGAAAAAGGTTAGGAGTCTGTGAGTCTGGAAACGGAATACAGTGCTGCACTGAGGAGGGTGTTAATTTGCAGTTTAAAACTGTAGTGTAAAGCACCCTTCTGGCAAGACAGTGATGGAGTGAATGATGGTGAAAGTTTTTCTTTTTCGGGCCACCCTGCCTTGGTGGGAATCGGCCAGTGTGATAATAAAATAAAAAAAATAAACAACATAGATGAGGGAATAAATAGCAACATAAGCAGATTTGCTGATGACAACAAAATAGGCCGTCCTGGCCCATCCAATTCATTCTAATGACATTAGAGCACTCCAGGATGATTTGAATAGACTTATGCAAAGGTTGGAGAAGTGGCAGAGGCAGTTCAATATAGACAAATACAAAGTTCTAAATGTTGGACAGGAAAATAACCATGCCACATATGAACTAAATAATGTAGATCCTAATATTGCTGTTTGCAAAAAGGATTTAGGAGTTCTGGTTAGTAGTAATGTGAAACCAAGACAACAGTGCATAAGTGTTTGCAATAAAGCTTACAGAATCCTTGGCTTCATATCTAGAAGCATAAATAATAGAAGTCCTCAGGTTGTTCTTCAACTCTATATATCCTTGGGTAAAACTCATTTAGATTATGTTGCACAGTTCTGGTCACCATATTACAAAATGGATATAAATACACTGGAAAACATACAGAGGAGGATGACAAAGTTGATCCCATATATCAGAAATCTTCCCTATGTGGATAGACCGAGGGCCCTGAATCTGCACTCTCTAGAAAGGCATAGAATTAGAAGTATGATTGAAATGTATAAATGGAAAACAGGAATGAATAAAGGGGATGTAAATAGCGTGCTGAAAATATCTTGCCAGGACAGGACTCGCAGCAATGGTTTCAAGTTGGAAAAATTTAGATTCAGGAAGGATATAGGAAAACACTGGTTTGGTAATAGAATTGTGGATGAGTGGAACAAACTCCCAAGTACTGTCATAGAAGCTAAAATGTTGTGTAGTTTTAAAAATAGGTTAGATAAATACATGAGTAGGTGTGGGTGGGTATGAGTTGGACCTGACTAGCTTGTGCTACTAGGCTTGATGTCGTGCTCCTTCCTTAAGTGGATATGACCTGACTGGGTGGGTCATTGGTCTAAGCCAAGGGGTGACATGTACCTGCCTTGCATGGGCCAGTAAACCTGTTGCAGTGTTCTTTTATGTTCTTTTGTAATAATGTGTGGGAGGGATGGGTGGCAGTGGGTAGGAGGATGGTAGAAAGTGTAGGTAGGTACCAGATGTATGGGAAGAATGTGTGAGAAAGGTGACAGGGAACATGTGTATGCTTATTAATCTGCACATGTGTATTGTTTCTGATTTTGAATTACTCTTTGAATTCACCAAGAAGCATTCCTAAGTGCTCCAATTTTTTTTTTTTTTTTTTTTGCCTCTGTTCTCTACTTCGTTGCCTAAATGGCATTTACCCAAGTATTTAATACATTTATTGGGCCTTTTCTTAGTTTTCAGACCATTTATTTAATATTTACTCAAATGTTCAGTTCATTTATAGCACCAAAACTAATAAGTTTATAGGATGTGATGAAATGACAAGTAGGGTTAAATCCCCTATATGACTAACCTGTCTACGACTGACATTTTTCATCTCTGAGGCTGTCTTCAGTTGTTAAGTATTATCTGGAAACATTCCCCCCCCCCTACCCCCTAAAAAAAAAAAATTCATGTTCAGCCAGTGATGCCATTACCACCTCTTTATTCTCTGATCAAGAGCTATCATATTTCTTCCTTTTAATTAAATCTGCAAAGTACCAGTAACTTAACATCTTAACCATCTCACTCAGGCATTTTCATAAGATTATTCAACACTAGATAATGACCCAGTGATTGATTTAAAGTGCAGTATTCATAAAGAATGCAAAGAAATTCGCTATTGATCCATTGTATAGTTTTTCAATATATTTTTTTCAACAAATCGGCTGTATCCCACCAAGGCAGAGTGGCTCCAAAAAGAAAAACGAGAGTTTCTCTTTTTAAATTTAGTAATTTATACAGGAGAAGGGGTTACTAGGCCCTTGCTCCCGGCATTTTAGTCGCTTCTTACAACACGCATGGCTTACGGAGGAAGAATTCTGTTCCACTTCCCTGGGGATAAGAGGAAATAAACAAGAACAAGAACTAGAAAGAAAATAGAAGAAAACCCAGGGGTGTGTGTGCATATATATGCTTGTACATGTATGTGTAGTGTGACCTAAGTGTAAGTAGAAGTAGCAAGATGTACCTGAAATCTTGCATGTTTATGAGACAGACAAAAGACATCAGCAATCCTACCATCATGTCGACATACGGTTATACTTGATCACTCTTTTTATGGTACTGAAATAATAATAATAATACTCGGTGCTTCTGCAGCAGGTAATTAGAGAGCGTAGTCGTAGACAAGAATAATATCAAAATAAGTATGAAAAAGCAGGAAAAATCAATATTAATGAAGTTTAAAAATGAATATCAAAAAAGTATGAAATATGAATATTATCCATAAAAAAGTTTAAAAAAATATCAGAAATAAGCATTGAAAAAGTGTAAATTTAAAAAATAATAAATTATCAGAATTAAAAAAAAAAAGAATGAATTAATTACTAACATTTACATTTTCTTCCTTTTCACAACAGTACGATCGAGCTATCATTGATTTCGGCAACGTGACAAACAGTGATACATACTCCTCAGGACAAACGGACTACACCGACAGCACCATCAGCATCACCTTCACCGCCACCCTGGTCATCAACAGCAACTACAACAACAACACGGTGGTGGTTACAGCAGGAGCAGAGTACGACTCCCAGAACATGGTGTGGGTCAGCCAGGAGACTCATAACTTCAGCATGACTGCAGTGAGTTGCTTCTAGCCAGCTCCTACATGTACATCTTCACAGCTAACCCACAAAGTGAAAATATAAACTATTTTCAGTTCGTCCTGGGTTGTTAGCAAATCAAGATTTGATTATGGCTTACAATGCACCCACCCTCCTATAACCACAAACTTCTGCCCCACATTCTAATACTGCATTTTTAAAACTATTCCAACCCTCTTCAACTCCCCCACTGTTCGTACTTGAACCAGTCCGCCTTTCTGCCAATAGTTGCTTATATCTCACCTGAACTTCCTCCTCCCTTAGTTTATACACACTCACCTCCCTCTTGTTGCCATTTTCCTCTTTTTCCATCTACCTCTTACTCTAACTGTAGCTACAACTATATAATGATCCGATATGTCAGTTGCCCCTCTATAAACGTGTACATCCTGAAGCCTACCCATGAACCATTTATCCACCAATACATAATCTAACAAACTACTTTCATTATGTGCTATATCGTACCTTGTATATTTATTTATCCTCTTTTTCATAAAATATGTATTACTTATTACTAAACCTCTTTCTACACATAGCTCAATTAAAGGCTCCCCATTTTCATTTTCCCTGGCACCCCAAATTTACCTACTACTCCCTCCACAACATTTTTGCTCACTTTAGCATTGAGCAGTCCCTGGCTAACACCCAGCATTCTCAAATCCATAAATACAAAACACCGATATGAAAAACAGTACAGAATGGGTCACATAACCAGAGACCAAACAAAACGTTACTCGTAAATCCTAACCAGCCTGATAAGAAGGGCAAAAAAATTGTATTATGAGAACAGATTATCCAACTTACGAGGTGATATAAAAAAGACCTGGAAAACCCTATCAGAAATTCTAGGAACAAAAAAGATATCACGAAATAGCGAAATAAAATTAGCAAAATCAGATGAACCCCAACTCCCACCAACAGAAACAGCAAACAGACTTAATGATTTTTTCTCCACTATAGGACAAAACCTTGCCAATAAAATCCCAAGCTCAGATACCCACCCAAATGACTCCTCACTGGCAACTACCCGAACACACTGTTCCTAGCTCCAACTAACCCATACGAAGTCTCCCTTATTATCAACGCACTAAAAAACAAGGCAGGAGATTTAAATACCTTACCACCCTTTATATACAAAAAAGTGTCACAAGTGCTATCTCCAATCATTGCAACACTCTTTAACAAATCCATTGAATCCTCCACCTTCCCTACAGTTCTCAAAATAGCAAGGGTCACCCCGATCCATAAAGGAGGAGACCAAACAGAGTTGAATAACTATAGGCCAATATCCAACTTACACCCTCTCTCAAAAATCTTCGAAAAATTAATTCATAAATGAATCTACTCCTACCTCATCTCCCAAAACATTCTCAACCCCTGCCAATTTGGATTCAGGCCTAATAAAAATACTAATGATGCTATTATACACATGCTAGAACATATATACACTGCAATAGAGAAAAAAGAAGTCCCATTGGGGATCTTCATTGACTTACGTAAAGCTTTTGATACAGTTGACCATGACTTGCTCCACATAAAATTGTGCACTATGGTATAAGAGGGCACTCCCTCAACTACCTCAAGTCATACCTCAGCAACAGAAGCCAATATGTGTACGCAAATGGGGCAAACTCTTCCGCACAACCAATTACAGTTGGTGTCCCACAGGGAAGTGTCCTTGGCCCTCTTCTCTTTCTCCTATACATAAATGACCTACCAAATGCTTCGCAATTACTCAAACCCATACTGTTTGCAGATGACACTACATACGTCTTCTCTCACCCGAGCCCAGTCACGCTAGCCAATACTGTAAACACCAAATTACAGAAAATATCTACCTGGATGAGGACTAACAAACTTGCACTAAACATTGACAAAACCTACTTCATTCAGTTTGGTAACAGAGCAACAGATGTCCCTCTTAACATAATGATAAATGGATCACCTATCACAAAGCTAACAGAGGGAAAATTCCTAGGAATCCACCTTGATAATAGACTCAAATTTCATACACATATACAACAAATTTCTAAGAAAATTTCCAAGACCGTAGGCATACTATCGAAGATACGGTACTATGTTCCACAGCCAGCCCTCCTGGCCCTATATCACTCTCTTATTTACCCCTATCTCACCTATGGAATTTGTGCATGGGGCTCAACAACAATTAACCATCTCAGACCACTAATTACCCAACAAAAGGCTGCAGTCAGAATGATGATAAATTCCCACTACAGGCAGCACACTCCACCAATATTCAAAACACTAAACCTACTCACCATACAAAACATCCATACTTATTACTGCACCTATTACATACATAGAACACTTAACTCTGATATTAACCCTCCCCTCAAACATCTCCTTGCCAACCTCAACAGAACACATGACCATACCACAAGGCACAGATCACTCTTTGATGTTCCTCGTGTCCATCTCACGCTGTGCAAAAACTCAATGCACATAAAAGGCCCTAAAATCTGGAATTCATTACCTGTAAATATAAAAGAAACACTACCTGTTTTTAAATTCAAGTCTCTTCTCAAAGATCACTTACTCACCCAAAACCAATTAAATACTGAATAACTGAACCTTATAAATTGTATATCTTAAATGTTTCTCACAATTATACCACATAAATGTTAAACCTAAGACCCAATATAACTTTATTTTTTAAATACACTACCTAACAGAATACTCCATTCGACTGAATGTACAGCAATGTATGCAACCATATGACCTGTCTTTGTAATACTCATTTGTGCTTTATTGTTATCTGTTTACAATAATGTTTTATCACTGATTACATCATTGCTTAGTTAATCTTAAGTTAATTTTAAGCCAGCCCATAATGCTATGCATACAAGTGGCTTTGGCATGCTGCTCTTACCTGTATTTTTTTGTACCTCTGAATGTATGTATGCTCAAATTCCCAACCACCATTACTCTCACACTTGATTCAAAACTCCCCACGCATTCACTCAACATTTCCCAAAATCTCTCCATCTCCTCTACACTTCTCTCTTCTCCAGGTGCATATACACTTACTTTAACCCACTTTCCACATCCAACCTTTATTTTACTCCACATAATCCTTGAATTAATACATTTATAGTCCCTCTTTTCCTGCCATAACTTATTATTCAACATTATTGCTACTCCTTCTTTAGCTCTAACTCTATTTAAAACCCCTGACCTAATCCCATTTATTCCTCTCCACTGAAACTCTCCCACCCCCTTCATCTTTGTTTCACTTAAAGCCAGGACATCCAGCTTCTTCTCATTCATAACATCCACAGTCATCTCTTTCTTATCATTTGCACAACTTCACGCACATTCAGACTTCCCACTTTAATAATTTTCTTCTTATCATTATTTTATTACAGGAAAAGGGGTTACTAGCCCATTGTTCCTGGCATTTTAGTTGACTTTTACAACACGCATGGCTTGCGGAGGAAAGATTCTTATTCCACTTCCCCATGGATATAAAAGGAAAAGTAATAAGACCAAGAACTATTAAGATAAAATCAAAGAAAACTCAGACGAGTGTGTATAAATAAACATGTACATGTATGTGTAGTGTGACCTAAGTGTAAGTAGAAGTAGCAAGACGTACCTGAAATCTTGCATGTTTATGAGACAGACAAAAGACACCAGCAATCCTACCATCATGTAAAACATTTACAGGTTTCCGTTTTACACTCACTTGGCAGGACGGTAGTACCACCCTGGGCGGTTGCTGTCTACCATCCTACTACCATATAGAAAATTGTGAGGAATAGCTTTTTTCAAGATTGATGGACAGAACACATTGACTCCAGGCTGAGGGACTGATTACCTCATACTCCTCATATTCCACCTTTCTCTACACTGGACTGAGCAATCCAGCTGACGAAACTTTTCCAGAAAAAACATACAAAAATGTTGCAGAAGTGTCTCATTGATCAGCTTTTTTCTTCTTTCACACTAAGCTATCCTGATAAGCATTTGTATCTAATTTCTACCCTATACCAAGTTGACACTTTTCTTTCCACACAGGGTTCCTATGTTCAAAGTATTCAAATGAGTTCTCCGACCACCCTGGCCCAGTACTCAGGAGGCAGCTTCAGCATCGACGCCTACCTCACCAACCCATTCGATACTCTCACCTTCGAAGTCTACACCAACCAAGATTTATATGTGAGATCTCTTTTGATGTGTGTGCATGCATGTATGAGTGTGTACTCGTCTATATGTGGCTGTAGTGATGGATATTTTTATATTTGGCCTCCACTTCTCCATTTGCCACTAAGTTGTGTTTGCGTAAGTGTGTACTTGTGTGTACATGTGCGTACATGAATGCACACCTACATGTGATTGCAGGGGTCAAATCATGGTTCCTGGTTTCGTCTCTTCACTAGCTGCTTCTGGGCTCGCTCTCCTCACTTCAAGAGCCCTAACACACCTCTTCCTACAGCTATGTATGTATCCTGCCACTCTCCATTTTACTGTCGAGGATGTTTCACCATCTGACCAGTTTAAAGCTAAAGAAATGCTTCCTAACATCACCCTACCTCACCTGTGTTGTCGACTTCCATATGTGCCCACCTTTTTTTTTCCTGTGTACTCTCCTATATGTGATTGCAGGGGTCAAGTCATCACTCCTGGCCCTACCTGTGTGCTCTTGCATGCGTGTGTACATTACCGCTCCCCATATACAGGGGGTTGTGTACGTTTTACATTTGTGTAGTGAAACATAACAGTTTTCCCTTCCTTTCAGGACCAGTTCACCATCTCCCAGATGTTCATTTTGTCGAAGGGGTCCAACTTCGTTTGCATGCTGGACTCGATGATAACAACAACGTACTATGACTCTGCCTCTGGTAGAACAGTACAACGAGCGACCCTCATAGCCCCACTCATAATTAAGAATCTTGACTACAGTGAGTACTAATGGTCATTTTCAATGACCCCCCCCCCACAAATTGGAAATAAAACCTTAGAGGAAGATTTCCTTTTTTTCGTTTGGTGTTCGTATTTATATGATATTTATGGGTTAGTTGTGATTTTTTCTGGCCATGTTACTGTGGTTTTATTTTAAAAAAAAAAGTCATGATTTTTTATTTTTTTTTATTAGCACACTGGCCGATTCCCACCAAGGCAGGGTGGCCCGAAAAAGAAAAACTTTCACCATCATTCACTTCATCACTGTCTTGCCAGAAGTGTGCTTTACACTACAGTTTTTAAACTGCAGCATTAACACCCCTCCTTCAGAGTGCAGGCACTGTACTTCCCATCTCCAGGACTCAAGTCCAGCCTGCCGGTTTCCCTGAATCCCTTCATAAATGTTACTTTGCTCACACTCCAACAGCACGTCAAGTATTAAAAACCATTTGTCTCCATTCACTCCTATCAAACACGCTCATGCATGCCTGCTGGAAGTCCAAGCCCCTCGCACATAAAACCTCCTGTACCCCCTCCCTCCAGCCTTTCCTAAACCGACCCCCACCCCGTCTTTCATCCACTACAGACTGATACACTCTTGAAGTCATTCTGTTTTGCTCCATTCTCTCTACATGTCCAAACCGCCTCAACAACCCCTTCTCAGCCCTCTGGACAACAGTTTTGGCAATCCCGCACCACCTCCTAACTTCCAAACTACGAATTCTCTGCATTATATTCACACCACACATTGCCCTCAGACATGACATCTCCACTGCCTCCTGCCTTCTCCTCGCTGCAACATTCATCACCCATGCTTCACACCCATATGAGAGTGTTGGTAAAACTATACTCTCATACATTCCCCTCTTTGCCTCCAAGGACAAAGTTCTTTGTCTCCACAGACTCCTAAGTGCACCGCTCACCCTTTTCCCCTCATCAATTCTATGATTCACCTCATCTTTCATAGACCCATCCGCTGACACGTCCACTCCCAAATATCTGAATACATTCACCTCCTCCTTCCCTCTCCCTCCAGTCTGATATCCAATCTTTCATCACCTAGTCTTTTTGTTATCCTCATAACATTACTCTTTCCTGTATTCACTTTTAATTTTCTTCTTTTACATACCCTACCAAATTCATCCACCAACCTCTCCAACTTCTCTTCAGAATCTCCCAAGAGCACAGTGTCATCAGCAAAGAGCAACTCTGACAACTCCCACTTTGTGTGATTCTTTATCTTTTAACTCCACGCCTCTTGCCAAGACACTCGCATTTACTTCTCTTACAACCCCATCTATAAATATATTAAACAACCATGGTGACATCACACATCCTTGTCTAAGGCCTACTTTTACTGGGAAATAATCTCCCTCTTTCCTACATACTCTAACTTGAGCCTCACTATCCTCGCAAAAACTCTTCACTGCTTTCAGTAACCTACCTCCTATACCATACACCTGCAACATCTGCCACATTGCCCCCCTATCCACCCTGTTATATGCCTTTTCCAAATCCATAAATGCCACAAAAACCTCTTTAGCCTTATCTAAATACTGTTCACTTGTATGTTTCACTGTAAACACCTGGTCTACACACCCCTACCTTTCCTGAAGCCTCCTTGTTCATCTACTATCCTATTCTCTGTCTTACTCTTAATTCTTTCAATAATAACTCTACCATACACTTTACCAGGTATACTCAACAGACTTATCCCCCTATAATTTTTGCTCTCTCTTTTGTCCCCTTTGCCTTTATACAAATGAACTATGAATGCTCTCTGCCAATCCATAGGTACCTTACCCTCTTCCATACATTTATTAAATAATAGCACCAACCACTCCAAAACTATATCCCCACCTGCTCTTAACATTTCTATCTTTATCCCATCAATCCCAGCTGCCTTACCCCCTTTCATTTTACCTACTACCTCTCGAACTTCCCCCACACTCATAACTGACTCTTCCTCACTCCTACAAGATGTTATTCCTCCTTGCCCTATACATGAAATCACAGCTTCCCTATCTTTATCAACATTTAATAGTTGCCTCCCAAAAATTCCTTTCATCTTTCCACTACCTCTAACTCCCAACTCTTTAATGATTTTCTCCTCTCCAATTTTTTAACTGCCCCATACATTGTTCCCTAGCTTTCCTCAACTTTAATGTTCCTCAAAACATTCTCTTTGCTCTTCCAATTACCTTCTTCTCCATTATACCCTCCTTTTTTAACTACCATCCATTTCGTCTCTCTCTCCTCACTTTCATCTCTGATCTCTCTCATCTCATGTCTGTCTCTTTCTTACATTCTTCACCATCTCTTCCTACCTACCCTCTCTCTCTCTCTCTCTCTCTCTCTCTCTCTCTGTCTCTTCTCTGTCTCTCTTTCTGTCTCTCTTCTCTTCTCTTCCTCTTACTGTCTCTTCTCTCCTCTCTCTTCTCTCTCTCTCTCTGTCCCCTGTCTCTGTCTCTGTCTCTTCTCTCTCTGTCTCTCTCTTCTCCTCTTTTCTCTCTGTCTCTCCTCTTCTCTCTCTCTCTCTCTCTCTCTCTCTCTCTTCTTCCTCTCTCTCTCTCTCTTCTCTGTCTGCTCTGTCTCTCTCTGTCTCTCTCTATCTGCTCTCTCTCTCTGTCTCTCTCTCTCCTCTCTTCTCTCTCTTCTCTGTCTCTGTTTTCTGTCTCTCTCTCTCTCTCTCTCTCTCTGTCTCTGTCTCTCTCTCTTCTCTCTCTTGCTCTCTCTCTCCTCTCTTCTCTCTCTCTCTCTCTCCTCTCCCTCTCTCTCTCTCTCTCTCTCCTCTCTCTCCTCTCCTCCCTCTCTCTCCTCCTCTCTCCCTCTCTCTCTCTCCTCTCCCTCTCTCTCTCTCCTTGCATCATTTCTACTTTGTAAAAACTTCTCATATGCTAATTTTTTCTCCCTTACTACTCTCTTTACATCATCATTCCACCAATCGCTCCTCTTCCCTCCTGCACCCACTTTCCTGTAACCACAAACTTCTGCTGAACACTCTAACACTACATTTTTAAACTTACCCCATACCTCTTCGACCCCATTGCCTATGCTCTCATTAGCCCATCTATCCTCCAATAGTTGTTTATATCTTACCCTAACTGCCTCCTCTTTTAGTTTATAAACCTTCATGTCTCTCTTCCCTGATGCTTCTATTCTCCTTGTATCCCATCCACCTTTTACTCTGTGTAGATACAACTAAAAAGTGATCTGATATATCTGTGGCCCCTCTATAAACATGTACATCCTGAAGTCTACTCAACAGTCTTTTATCTACTAATACATAATCGAACAAACTACTGTCATTTCGCCCTACATCATATCTTGTATACTTATTTATCCTCTTTTTCTTAAAATATATATTACCTATAACTAAACCCCTTTCTATACAAAGTTCAATCAAAGAGCTTCCATTATCATGATACCTGCATAAATAGTTACTGTCATAGGATCAATTGACATGTATAAAATACTTTATAAGAAGCCTCCTTGTTTTCAGGGTATTTCAGAGAGCCATAAAATTAATTTATTATTACTGGACAGTTAAGCTAGAGACAAAATCATGGCTGGTATTAATTCCACATAACACAGTAGTGTTACGAGAAAGTAAATAAGTTCACATATGTCGTTTCATGATATGAATTATTAAGTGTTCATTTGTTGTGGGAAACTAAGGATGTGAGTCATTCATAGACAGTGTACCCATCTTTTATTATAATTAGAATCTTTATCATTATAATTGAATCTTTAACATTATAATTAGAATCTTTAACATTAGAATTAGAATTTTTAATACATGTATTATAATTAGAATCCTTAAATTTATAATTAGAATCCGTAACATTATAATTAGAATCCTTAACATTATAATTAGAATCCTTAACATTATAATTAGAATCTTTACCATTATAATTAGAATCTTTACCATTACAATTAGAATCTTTTTCTTTAACACAACACATACATTGTACTCACCTAATTATGGTTGCAGGGGCAGATGTTTGTATGCATATGTGTATGAATGTAAAAAGACCTGCTATATTTCTAAGCAGCCAAGTTGACTTTATGAGCCTGTGTAAAGTTTGGGTATGTCTATCCAACTGAAAATATCTTTTATTTTCACCAGCTGCTTTAACGGCTGCCCTGACCAACTCCAACTTCCTGATGCAGCTGGGATTTAACATCTTCCTGGTTGACGCTAAGGCTGGGGATGTGGTGAATGTTGGTGTCGGACTGATCATTGGAGTCACCACCATCTGGACTGGAAACGTCACCATTACTGTCACTGCTGGTTCTATTCCTGTCTCTGCGACACCCACCTGGAGTGCGGTGAGCTCCTGGAAACTAAGTACCCAGAACTAGATAATTCTCGTGATAGATTCAGAATTTTGGGGAAGAATCATTACCCAGTTTATAAAAATGGCATACATATGAAACAAAAGAAGGTAATTTAAGCTGCCACTACCATCCATTATGAAGGCAAGTAGAAAGTTTGCAGAATAAGTTTCAATTGCAACAACATTTATCTCTTTGCCAAACAGTATAATATTCCTAAAACCAGACAGTGTTGCCAGAAAAAACACAATATTTCTAGAACAATGTAGTTTTCTTGGACCTATGCAGTGCTTTCAGAAAAAAAATTATAACCCAAAGAACATGATATCTTTATAATTATTGTTGACATGTAGTTCTTCCTGGTGTGTGTAGGTGAACCCGGTAACCACAACAGCGGTCGCTAATGGAGGTACCGCCACCTGGGGCTTCACATTGACCATCCCTAGCAGTCAAGATGTCCTGGTGGATTGTTCTGCAGTCCCTGGTTCTGGAGGTGAGTACCTGTCAAAAGTGCTTTTGAATTGTTGGTGCTTTTGAATTGGTTACCATGGAGAACTACCTTGGGTAAATGTTGTTGTTGGTGAGTTTGTTTTTGAGGAAGACCTGCCTAGTATGGCCAGTAGGCCTGATGCAGTGTTTCTCCTGTATTCTGTTCATATATAGGTCTAGTACTTCCCTATGAATATAAAGCAGAGAAGCCTAGAGACTGGTACGAGGAAAATAGTCTGACATATGCCTAACTGTACTCTTGGGCACTCTTTCAAAGGCTTGTATTTTGTGTTGGAGTGTTTACCTGGGAAATAATTCTACCTCTTGTTTCAATAATTAAATAACTTTATTAGAGAGAGAGGTAGAAGGTTAGGAGGGTAATGGGAAGCCCTCCAAAAAAAAAAAGCTTCTGTGATCTTCATAATGCTGAGTTTACTCATCTTCCTTCTTTGTGTTCACTTTCTTCAGCCACTGTGTGCAGTTTTGCTTATGGAAGCGTGGGAGTAAACATTGCCAGCATACCCAATATAGAAAACCTCTTGATTAATGGATCTGATGGCTCCATGAAGTTCACTGAAGATTTCAACTCGACAGGCACTGTAAGTCTTGTCATATCTTGCATTTGAAGTATGTATCTGTTAATATTTACCTATTTTTTTGGTAGTTACTGAAGCAGAGCTATGCTCACTGACATGACTGAGCCAGCACAAAATGTGACAACAAACTTCAGCTCAGTTCCTGGGAGGAAAAGAAACCTTGAAGTAAAAATAGGCTATTCTCAAGGTTAGGTTAGGTAAGGTTTGTCAGAAAACAGGATAAATGTTTCCTGACGTGAGTCTTAGTTGCATGACGATCCCACAGCTGGAGCTTATGGTCATCTGACCGAGGCCTTTTGCTGGCTTACACATCCACCCTTTTAAAAATTAAGGTTAGTTAACTTTACAGTGGACTCTAAGTTATTGGCCAACTCGGTGATTGGAAGGTTTTTTGGCTCCCTTATCGGCCGTTATTTCGGTGATCAGCCATTTCGGACGCATCCATCTGCAGGCTAGGGCCACTTGTGAGTCAGTTTTGCTGTCTTTTGGTGCATGAGGCAGCTTCTGCTCATACATCCAAACATTTTGCTTGTTTTCCATTTTTTTTTTTTTTTTGCAGTGCAACTACAAAATAAGTAACCATGGCTCTAAAGAAAGTTCCTTGTAAAGTTCCTGTGGTAAAGAAAGTGAGAAACGCCATGGAATTTAAGCGTGAAGTGTAGCAGGCATGCAGGGAGTGTAGCAGGCATGCAGGGAGTGTAGCAGGCATGCAGGGAGTGTAGCAGGCATGCAGGGAGTGTAGCAGGCATGCAGGGAGTGTAGCGGGCATGCAGGGAGTGTAGCAGGCATGCAGGGAGTGTAGCAGGCATGCAGGGAGTGTAGCAGGCATGCAGGGAGTGTAGCAGGCATGCAGGGAGTGTAGCAGGCATGCAGGAAGTGTAGCGGGCATGCAGGGAGTGTAGCAGGCATGCAGGGAGTGTAGCAGGCATGCAGGGAGTGTAGCAGGCATGCAGGGAGTGTAGCAGGCATGCAGGAGTGTAGCAGGCATGCAGGGAGTGTAGCAGGCATGCAGGGAGTGTAGCGGGCATGCAGGGAGTGTAGCAGGCATGCAGGGAGTGTAGCGGGCATGCAGGGAGTGTAGCGGGCATGCAGGGAGTGTAGCGGGCATGCAGGGAGTGTAGCGGGCATGCAGGGAGTGTAGCGGGCATGCAGGGAGTGTAGCGGGCATGCAGGGAGTGTAGCAGGCATGCAGGGAGTGTAACAGGCATGCAGGAAGTGTAGCAGGCATGCAGGAAGTGTAGCGGGCATGCAGGGAGTGTAGCAGACATGCAGGAAGTGTAGCAGGCATGCAGAAAGTGTAACAGGCATGCAGGAAGTGTAGCGGGCATGCAGGGAGTGTAGCAGACATGCAGGGAATGTAGCAGGCATGCAGGGAGTGTAGCAGGCATGCAGGGAGTGTAGCAGGCATGCAGGGAGTGTAGCAGGCATGCAAGAAGTGTAACAGGCATGCAGGGAGTGTAGCGGGCATGCAGGGAGTGTACGGGCATGCAGGGAGTGTAGCAGGCATGCAGGAGTGTAGCAGGCATGCAGGGAGTGTAGCAGGCATGCAGGGAGTGTAGCAGGCATGCAGGGAGTGTAGCAGGCATGCAGGGAGTGTAGCAGGCATGCAGGGAGTGTAGCAAGGCATGCAGGGAGTGTAACCAGGCATGCAGGGAGTGTAGCAGGCAAGCAGGGAGTGTAGCAGGCATGCAGGGAGTGTAGCAGGCATGCAGGGAGTGTAGCAGACATGCAGGAAGTGTAGCAGGCATGCAGAAAGTGTAACAGGCATGCAGGAAGTGTAGCAGGCATGCAGGAAGTGTAGCGGGCATGCAGGGAGTGTAGCAGACATGCAGGAAGTGTAGCAGGCATGCAGAAAGTGTAACAGGCATGCAGGAAGTGTAGCGGGCATGCAGGGAGTGTAGCAGACATGCAGGGAATGTAGCAGGCATGCAGGGAGTGTAGCAGGCATGCAGGGAGTGTAGCAGGCATGCAGGGAGTGTAGCAGGCATGCAAGAAGTGTAACAGGCATGCAGGGAGTGTAGCGGGCATGCAGGGAGTGTAGCGGGCATGCAGGGAGTGTAGCAGGCATGCAGGGAGTGTAGCAGGCATGCAGGGAGTGTAGCAGGCATGCAGGGAGTGTAGCAGGCATGCAAGGAGTGTAGCAGGCATGCAGGGAGTGTAGCAGGCATGCAGGGAGTGTAGCAGGCATGCAGGGAGTGTAGCGGGCATGCAGGGAGTGTAGCGGGCATGCAGGGAGTGTAATGGGCATGCAAGAAGTGTAGCGGGCATGCAGGGAGTGTAGCGGACATGCAGGAAGTGTAGCAGGCATGCAGAAAGTGTAACAGGCATGCAGGGAGTGTAGCAGACATGCAGGAAGTGTAGCAGGCATGCAGGGAGTGTAGCAGACATGCAGGAAGTGTAGCAGGCATGCAGGGAGTGTAACAGGCATCCAAGGAGTGTAGTAGGCATGCAGATAGTGTAGCAGACATTCCAGAAGCCAGCATTAGTCTTCAATAAAGGTATGTAATACTGATTTAATTGTTAAAAAAAATATTTTTTGGTGAATATTTTTGTCTGGAGTGGATTAATTGTATTTACATTAATTCTTATTGGAAATATTATTTCGGTTTTTGGCCAAGCTTCTGGAACGGATTATGGCCGATACCCGAGGGTCCACTGTAATTAGTATATATGCTCAGGGTGCTTTGTCTTCAATGTTTAGTTTTTGTATATATTATTTTATTATTTGGTTAAAGCATAATCTGCTTATTCCAAGAAAATATGTAATTTATATGATAATCTCTATCCCCATTGTGCTACAAAAACTGTTCTCCTTTATTTTATTATTGCTCTTTGCTCATTTTTCCATCTATTGGACAACGAAACTACTCGTGTTATCTGCGAATTCTTAAGTGCCTTCTTTTCTTTCATGCATTTATCATACAAATACACCAAATGCACCAAAACACTGTACCTAATTGCTTTTAGCACCACATTCATGCTCCCTTCTACCTCCAACAGAGGTAGATGGGATTAAGAATGATTAATAAATGGGATTAAGAATGATTAATGAATTGGATTAAGAGTGCTCTACTTCACCATTCACCTCTGATTCTTCCTAACTCTTATTAGATATTTTTTTTTTCCCTGATCAAGACATACCATTACTGCCTCCTTCCATCATCGACATTTAATGACTCAAAATATGCTCCCCATCTTTCATATATGTCCACCATCCTATCTAACATTTTTCCGCTTTCATTTTTAAGTTCCAAGTCTTTTTGAGTCCTAGGCTTTCTCATCTTATTAATCTCTCATCTCTCATCTTATTAATCTCTCTGGGTGTCCCAGTGGCCTGGTGGCTAAAGCTCCCGCTTCACACACGGAGGGCCCGGGTTCGATTCCCGGCGGGTGGAAACATTCGACACGTTTCCTTACACCTATTGTCCTGTTCACCTAGCAGCAAATAGGTACCTGGGTGTTAGTCGACTGGTGTGGGTCGCATCCTGGGGGACAAGATTAAGGACCCCAATGGAAATAAGTTAGACAGTCCTCGATGACGCACTGACTTTCTTGGGTTATCCTGGGTGGCTAACCCTCCGGGGTTAAAAATCCGAACGAAATCTTATCTTACCTTATCTTATCTTATCTATCTTCCAAACTATTGCTCATTCTTAGCAAAATTTGCTGATGACTTGCCCATTTACTCCTTGCTTCTTCTTTAGTACTCGCACCATTCATTCTTTTTGTTTCTACATATACTCTGCTTTCCATGTAATTTTTTTATATTGTAAAAACTTCTTGTATGCTAACTTTTCTTTCCACTCTCCTTACCTCATTATAGCCCTAATAATTTTTCTTCTCTCCCTCACTCACCCTCCTATAACCACAAACTTAATGCTATACACCTCGTACCTCTTCGACCTCATTTCCTGTTTTCTGTAACCTATTCTTTTAATAAATGCTCATGTTTCTAACTAATCTTCACCTGGCTTTTAGTTTTACTGTAATTACCGCTACATAATGGTCCGTCTGATAAGTCGCTCTTTTATAAACATACGGATCTGGAAGTTTAATCATGAACCTCTTCTCCAAAAATACATCTTAAGTAAATTTCTGCTATTATTAACTATATCATATCTCCTATACTTTTCTTATTCTTAAAAGAAATATTACTTATTACAAATTATTCTCTATTCAATTCAGTTAGAAGCCTTCCCTAAATATTTGTAAAAATTATTTAAACTCTTGCCAATAACACAATTAAATCTTTTCAAAACTTTCAAAGTGTCATTGAGCATGTCATCATGTATTCAAGACCCATGTCAGGCAATTTTCTTTGAATAAACTAACAACAATTAAGCTCATACTTGTGCATGTCATTGCAGTTCACAATAGCTGGCGCCAATGACATCACCTTTGAGGTCTCTGTCCAGTATTCAGGAACTGCTCGTCCTTCAACAACACTGACATGTTCTGGTGGCCTGTCTGCAACACTCGCTGCTACTTCTGGGGTATATTTTCTCACACTTCCCTTATCTTTTCCTGTGTTCTGTCCGTGATTGTTTACCTGGTCATGGCACAGATTAGGATCTGTTTCAGGTTTTAGTTACTTAGCATTTTCTACAGGGATGTGTTGCTTAAGAGGCATGATTGAACTCCATATGGATTGTAAAATATCACTGACCATTGTCTGGATGATCTCTTCTCGCGCGCACCCGCGCATGTGTGTGTGCATGCGCGTGCGTGTGTGTGCGCGCGTGCGTGCGTGTGTGCGCGCGCGTGCGTGCGTGTGTGTGCGCGCGTGCGTGTGTGTGTGTGTGTGTGTGTGTGTGTGTGTGTGTGTGTGTGTGTGTGTGTGTGTGTGTGTGCACGCGTGTGTGTGTGTGCATGCGTGCGTGCGTGTAGTCACGAAAGAACTTGGAATTTCATTATTCTTTCACAGTTGTAGTTTGGCATATTCTGAAATCACCCATTTACTGTGATCTTATTGCGTATGTATGTATGTATGTATGTATGTATGTATGTATGTATGTATGTATGTATGTATGTATGTATGTATGAATATATATAT